GTTTGTTTAGAAGAGTCAAGCACTATATTAAGAAGCAATGCTAAAAGAGGCAGTCACAAGAAATGCAATTAAGCGCATTGAATAAATAAAAACAAACAAGACTATGGAAGCAGTACCAAACCCATCCTTTTTCATGCTACTTTTCCTAAATCTTGCCAAATTGCAGCTTCTACTTATGAAAATCAATTAAATAGCTGAACTAACACGTCTAGTTGTTAGGGAAAAAAACACCTTCACCACGATAGGTATCACTGACTAGAAACCTTTGAACCTGCCGAGTTATAATTACTATTTGCTGAGAAGGGTCAACCATTTTTGCATTTTCAATTAAGTAGTCAATAAACAACATAATAAAACCAAATTAGCTTCATTCTGTTTATGCACTTTTGTTTACGTGTAAGGAGTTTAAAATACGAGCTCGGATAAATTAGACGGATTGAAGTTAATAAAAGCTATTGGAAATTGGGTAGTTTTATGATTACACTCAACTGTAGATAGCTTTTGAAAAGGAAGCAAAATTCATATACTGTTGTTATGATACCTTAGACGTTTAATTAAAGAGAGACATCAAAAAGAGATTACCAAAAACTTAAAGGAGGAATAGGTGTCATGTTATTCAAATTAAAATGAGTCTTTTCTTCAATATTAACTTAGTCGCATTTTTGATATGCCGACCCGTATGACTAAAATACCCCAGGAACGGCAACGGGTTAATATAAGAATTTAAATTCATAATGGCCTGACTTTATCAGGGCTGAATTGTTTGTCAGTAGCTGGAGGCATCTGACATGCATTTTTAATGGTTATGAGAGAAAGTCGGCAGATTCTTAAACCGGCTCCGCTTAACTTTCATCGGACATTCAGATGTAATCTTTTTTTTCCCTCTGTAATGTCTAGAAAGTACAAGTGCACCAAAATTCCTCTTTGAATGTAGCCTTTAAAACAGCAAAAGGCAGTAAGAAAACTATAAAAGATCGACTGGAGTGCACCGATCTTCTGAGACATCGGCCATATTCCGCTATCATAACTTCTGCTCATATAAAGTATCATCCGGATCCGCATCACGACTAAACTAACCCGGCCCATGAATCCACTTTACACAAGGATTCATTGTTTCCTTTGATCTGAGGGATTTTGTATCCTAAATTCTGATCTGGGTCCACCCCGATGGAACCAGCCACCTTCAAATTTCCTTGCTAGTTTTTGCTACAAATGCCCCGCACTTAGTACAAATTTCGACTTACATTTCCTCAACCCCCTTCTCCAACTACCACCACCTGTCCCTAAAATAACCCTATGTAACCCTTTGGTGGAGATTAAGTGGTTAAGTTAAAAATATGTCAACAGCTAGCAAGCCAAAATACACCCATTCGGAGGTCAGTGAGGGTTGTGTTAAGCTACGGTATACTGCAATTCGACTGATCATCTGGGTTTGCATGCACATATTCGAGAATAAATTTAATTCGTCGCATCAACAAAGCGTGTAATAATTTTAAAGTACGTGTTAATTCGGAAAAGCAGCGTGTCGACGAGTGGTTCAATTTCGAAATGGAAACAAATTGTACTATAATTTCAATTCACGAGACATATTTCTTTACATATTTTTTGTGCAAAAAATAACTCGGAAAGTTACGTCCTACGTGTACACGAACAATCTCTGTTCAGTTTTCTAAGAGAAAGATGCAATGTTCTGGAATAATTAGCTAATTACCATAAGAATATTCGTGTGACTCGTTTGGTTTTCAA